ATTCAGAAGACCTAAGAAAGAGAATATATAAAGACAGCTGGTCACATAACAGCACTAAGATAGCCAGTGAAATCTAGAAACTGAATTTTTGTCTATATGTTGGAATATAAATCCTTGAACAACAACGATGACAGTGACAAAAATATAGAGAGGCTACGAGTTCATTCTGTTTCAGAATTTGTAAAACCTTCTTTATTGGACAAATCTGTATCTGAATTTTAATACCAGTATAGAATAGCATGCACATGCTACAACCTCCCCCCCCCACCCCCAAAAAAAACAATCCAACTACTTGACTCATATATTACATGAGAGATTTTTGCTTAATTACTTGAAATACTTCAAAGATTTTTGCTTTAGTGTGGACAGCGTGCATCCTTTGTGCTTTAACTTTACAAGATGCCTGTTCAGTTAGCTGTGGCTTAATTCTCCTGCACAGACATGGCCTTAGAGGCAAGTATTAAAGGTCACTTAAGGTAAATCTTAATAAAGTAGTGTACACATTGTGTATCATTTGCCAAGAAATTACTAAAGTACACTTTTTAAATTACACTTTTTAAATGCGTCACAGTGAGAACTGTAGTCATCATTTAAAAAAAAAAAGAATGTAATATACTTTAATTAGGAATACTTTAATTGGGTCTTTAGGTCTGTTGCAGTAGCATTAAAACTTTTGGCCGTGCAAGCCAGGTGAGTGGCTCAAGAGCAGATGGGGCCCTGTGCAGCCTTGGCAGCCCGCTAGGATAGAGTTGTACACTGCCTCTGCATGCTGGGATCAGGCACCGGGGCCTGTTTCAGGATTGGGCTCTGTACATCTGGTCCAGCATACAGGGCCACACTCGCTGGCCTGCGAGACCTCCCATGGTTGGCAGCAAGGAATTGGTGCCGCATTCTCCTGCTGCTAAATTTTCAGGCTCCCAAGCCAGGGATTGAGAACCCCTGGTCAGCTGGATCTGGCTTATTTGTTCTGCGCTAGGGCTAATATGTCTCAAGGTTTGATGCGGCACAAAGATTGCATTGGTTTATTCTTTTTTAAAATGAGTCTCTTATTCTGCTATTTGTAATGTGACTACATGTCATTGCAACTGCAAGTAATGGTATAAAATTGAGAAAAAGAAAAACTGGCTATGCAGCTGACATTTTTAACAGTTGAAACTGTAGTAGATAATAGAATAATCTCCCTAGGGAAGGTGGAAGCTTTATTTTTTGAATCCTTTAAAACTGGGCTGTGCAAAGCACTATAAAATGTTGGTGAAGAGCAAACCTGCATTGACTGAGAATGAGAAAACCTAGTGGGTCTTCCAATTTACTGTTATGTTAGACTGCATGTCTCTAGGACCTAATCCACTGTCTGGTAACGTCTATTGAAACTCCCATTGACACACCAGCTTAGTTTCTACTGCTTACCAAAGCAAAGGTATCAGTCCAATTTACAGAAGAGACTGTTTTACCTGGCTCCCTTGTACCACTTAGCCTTTACGTTATGAAAGCTCTGGGTAGATTTTTATAAGGAATAACCAAAAGAGCCTCTTACGGCACTTTGTGTTGGGATAACTAAACCCAGAATAAAATCCCCAATGTGTCAGTGAATGCTAAGAACTTTTTTCCAACTACTCAGTTGGTCTAATGAAAGATATCACACCTATCCAAAGAACCTTCCCTGGCAATGACCACTAAACATTTAGATCAATGAAAAATACATTTTTGAATAAAGGTACTACCTTTCCAGCACAGGCCCTCACCAAGTATAGAGAACAGACATCCAGCTATTTTTGCTATATCTTGTAACCACTGTGTATGTTCTTTTCACATAGATTATCTTGATAATGGTAATAATAAAATGGCAATCCAGCAGGCAGATAAACTGCTGAAAAAACACAAGGATCTTCACTGTGCTAAGGTAAGCCCGATTGGTTTTTCATCAGTTTACTTTTATTTAGTTAACAGAGTTCTGAAATTTGGGGGCATTCAACTGTACTTTTTAAGCATCCAGTTTTCTCTGCCATTTTTTGAGCACACTGTGGTCTCTAAATGTTCAGAATGTGAATGGCCATAGAGAACACTAGCAAGGCTTGTTAGCTGTTTATTGTGACAGTTCTCCACTTACCATAGTTAAGATGACATTTGTTTCTAACTAGTTGATTTCTTCATGAGCTGCTAAGAGTAATGTTTAATAGCTTCTGCTTTATCAACTCAATAGGTTCTAAAGGCAATTGGCTTGCAGAGAACTGGGAAGCAAGATGAAGCATTTGCTCTAGCACAGGAAGTAGCAGCGCTTGAACCCACGGATGACAACTCTTTGCAAGCATTAACTATCCTTTACCGAGAAATGCATAGACGTAGGTTTTTTGTTTCGCTTCTCTTCCCTTTCTTTTATTGTTTTCCTATATATACTGAACTGTTTCAGTTCTTGAAAAGAAATGAGATCCATAATTTAATGGGAAAGATGCCAAGCTAAGTTTTCAGATGCAGGCATATGAATAAGAAGCACAGATGTAGAATATAGATGTGCAGTTCAGCTCCTGAAGCCAAAGTGCTTCCTCTAGGCATCTTACAGGAAAACGAGCCCACAGAAATGTTAACGAACGGCAGGTTAATCCTAATATCAAATGAGTGCACTTGTTTATTCTAGTGAAAATCATTTGAACATGTTTCCTTAAGGCTGTAGTTAGAAAATGGTTACTGCAATATGTGTGAATGTCTGAGGAGCAGAATAGGCAACATGACATCCAGTAGACAGTGTCAGGAATGTAGGCAGCTGTGCTGCAAAGTCGGAGGACAAACCCTGGCTCTTCCTTCCCCTACATTACTTGCTTTTTGCAGTGTTAGGGTAGTACAACAAAACTAAATCTTGGCTCCTTTAAGCAGCCTGGCAAACAAGCTGGGCATTCTCATTCTGAAAGGGAAACCATATATGTGCAACACACATACAACACCAAGAGGTCACTCTTTTTCTTCTAGAAATCTTTTCACTATTCTGCAGTTGTGGCAGGCATGTTGATTGCCTTATCTGCAGCATAAAATTATTGTAAAGCAGAGGTTTTTTCATGCATATGGCAGATGTAAAACCAGTCCTTAATACGTAGCAACCTCTTGCATCATTTTAGATTATTTCATGTCTGAAAACCTTGATTTGCTAAAGCCCCTTTACTGCAGCATCTTAATGCCAGCCCTTTTTTTTCTACAAGTCTTAGCAACTTGCTTAAAGGTCACCAGTCATATTGTTTTTTAAAGGTGTTGAGATGTCAACATTTTGCTGTAATGCTGCAGAATGTATAAGTTTCTCTAAGGGGATATTTGTAAACACTTGAAGCCAAGCTTTCAGTGTACCTGAGACCTTGTTTTTGAGCAATTTACACATTTTTTACACCAGTTATTTTTGTTTGGAACATTTTGTTTCTGGTCCAGTGTATATTTTTATGGTTTAGCATGTTGAAAGGGAGAACCTGTGGGTGTTGAGCCTAATTAGGTTGCTCTGCACAGTATCCCAGATGTTACCTTGAGATGGCTGCTTTATAAACTTATCCCATATGTGTCTGAATTGAGTGTCTGGTTTTGGTTTAGCGGAGTTGGTAACTAAGCTTTACGAGGCAGCTGTAAAGAAAGTTCCCAACAGCGAGGAGTATCATTCTCATCTCTTCATGGCCTATGCCAGGGTTGGGGAATACAAGAAGATGCAACAGGTATGTTCATCTATTCCAGTTACTGTCAATTTGGGTGTCACTTGTACTGACTGGAGGGGAGAGCTGTCAGCAGCATCTCGGTAACAAAACAATGTATTTACCAAATTTAACGTTTCCTCAAGGGTCTTTCCTATACTATACTGTATTGCCGAGCACACTTTTAAATTATATTTTAGTCGCTTATAAAGTTGACCTAAAGCAATTACTTAAAAAAATCCTCATGTTTAATACTTGATACAGAGTAAAAGAGCCATTGTTTCTATTTGCTTGTTGTGTATAGAAGACTGTTGATTCTCTTTTCTTTAAAAGGGAAGGATAGCTTCCTCTCTTGTATGTTTGTCCTCCTTGGGACATTAGCTGCCTGTTGGTGCCAGTTTCAAAAAGCACTCAGTTTACATGCAACAAAAATCCCAGAACATGTATATGATATAATAAGAGCTTTGAGCCATGTAGTCCAATTTAACATGGTCTGGGTTACTATTTTTTTTTTTTTTTTTTTTTTTTTT